GAGCGGCAGGCTCGCAGCCTGTGCCCGGTTGTTGGCACGCGTCGGCTTTTGCAGTCATCTGCTGGGGCTGGGTGTGGGAAGGGCTGCGGGAAGGAGATTAAAGAGGCAGATGCCGGGCTTCAGCATGATGTGCGAGGCTCCAACCTGCCCAAAGCCTGCACAGGTTGGGTATTGCGCTGTTGCAGGGAGGAAGAAAGATAGTGAAGGTAACGACGGTGAACCAGCTGTGGTTTCGGTGAAGGCTTTCCATGCCCTGCACCAGCAGCTGAGCCACGGGCAGAGACCACAGCGCGATGGAGAACTGGGCTTCTCTCCCAGTGGTCTGGGCTTGGCTTGTGTCTGAAATGTTCTAGCGACAGGAACGGATCTAAATCTCCAGTTATTTGTATAATTTCAGAAGAAGCGGTGTGGGAGGGAGAGGAGCCTGGACCAGACTTGCTGGCCAAGAAAGTACCTGCTTGGTTTTTTTGTTGCACCTTTCCTAAGCGTACGCGAGAAAAACTCCAACTAAAGGTCCGTAATGTTTGTATATGTTCTTGTGAAGACTGTTTTCTGGAGCCAGGCGATGCCAGCCCCGCTGCCCTCCTCTGCCCATCATCCCTGGCTGTGGCAAGTGCCGCTGTTTTGATGGCTCATCTGTCATTTTTCAAGGAAGCCGTAGGAAGTGACATGTTCTTGCCATAGTTTCTAACACAGAGGCATCGGAGGATGAAGGCTTAATAAAAACTGGCTTTATATGGCTCTTCTTTTCCAAAAGCTAAAGGCTTTTGCAAGTGTGGGAGTGTTGGAGTGACTCGGGAGACATGTACCCGGTTGCTCCAGAAGGGCTGGGATGCAAGTGGAGCTGACAGCAGAAAGCACACGATTCATCGCTTTTCCAGCGAGCACGTTACAGCGCTTAAGGCGGAGGGCTAAAACGCCGTCTTAACTCTCACTCCCGGTGAAACCCCTGGGAATGAAGCACGCACTTAAAGTGAAGTGAGCGTGCAAGCGATCTGCTGCGCTGCGATCCAGGCTCGTGCAAGGTGTGACACGTCCCCCCACCCCCTCGGGCACACAGTCCTGGTGTGCATGGGCTTGCTTGCATTGGGCATCCTGGGGGACATTTTGCGTCAGTTTTCCAATGCGGCGCAGTGCGAGGGGACACCGAACAGGCCAGCCCAGCTCCCAGGCACAATACGGCCACGCTCCTGTAGCTCCTGCCCAAACCTATGGAGCCGGGCTGCTTCCGAGCCCTGCGGTGTCTGTGGGATGCACAGGCCAGCATCAAACCCAGCCGCCATCCCACACCACCCCCGCACGGGGACGCGGTCCCATCTCTGCTACCGATCAGGCTGATCCGTTCAGCTCCTGTGGCCCAGATGGTTCTGTCGGGCATGATGGTTCTGGTGACCAGGACCAGTTTGGTGCCAGCAAGCAGCCCCGTAGTGATGGGTCACCCAGAGGAGACAAATATTGGATGTGACCAGCCACGTTGGGAGTGGTGAGCTGTGCTGTGATCCTCCCAGGGCTTCTTCCCCGGGGAAACACCACGTCTGCCCTGCGGCAGAAGAAGCAGTGCCATGGGCATGCCCTCACCCGCTTGCCAGAGAAAAACCCTCCCTCGGCCACCCCGGGAGCACCACACCTCCCCATGGCGTGGGACTGACCCCAACCCAGAGCCTCTCCACCTTCTGACCTTGAAGAATTTAGCTCCCCACTCAGAGCTAGTATTCTAGTTCAGCCTCTTATTAAATCGTTAAGAAGCCTAAAATTCAAGTCTGACCAGTCAGCCAGCCTGAGGACAGCCTACGCACAGGGCCAGGCGCTGAAGGATGTCCTTAAAGCCTTTGTGAGGCTAATAGGCACTCGCATGTGGCTCCTGAGCAGAAAATCCCTTTTGTGTTGCTCATGCACTCAGTTTTCTGTCCTCTTCTCCGGGCGGCATCTCTCAAGGTTGTCAGAAAGCTGAGGGAAATGCCAGTATTTAAAGTTTGCATTAAATGTCTGAATGAAGAGAGAGAAAGGCAAAGCCTGCTTGATTCCTCTCCTTGCACGGCAGCAGGCTGGGAAGGAGCACGAGCGCCTGTTTGAGGCTCCAGGGAAGAGCAGGAGGAAGGATGCCACCTCCAAAGCCACGTAGCCACAGCCACACATGTCAAAGCTCTCCTCCGTGTGTGGACTCCAGAGAAACCGCGTTTCCTGCAGACACCAGCAAGGAGCACAGGAGCGGAGCCATGTTAGCTGTGGCCCAAGACCTGCAGGCGCTCCCCAGGGCTCAGGGACGGACCTGACGGACACTTTTGGGGGGGCAGGAGGAGAGCACAGAGCCGCTGGCACCAGCGCGGTGTGCCCACCTCCCTGGCTGGAGCGAAGATGAAGGTGAACCTGCAAACCTGTCAGAGAGAGCTCAATGGAACCCATCCAGCACGTGGATCCGAAAATGAGCCACAGGTTACTGTGCAAACTGTCCGTGCAGCCCAGCTCGACGAACAGGGGGACGAAATCCCAGCAAAATAGCGATGGCGTGCAGCTTCTCCCCGGGGCGGCTGCGAGAGCACATCCCGACTGCGCACGGGGCCCGACGCACGGCACGGGCGGCAGCGCGGGACGCGAGGGCCCCGTGTTGGCACGCACGGAGCGATGGCGGGGCGACTGCGCAGAGATAGGGTCCTGCATCACCGCCGAGCCCAGAGCAGCTGAGGTCAAAGGAAAGAGGAAACTGAGTGTGTTCTCATTGCGGGGGCTTGAGATGAGGTCAGGCAGAAGTTTTTACGGGCAACCAGCTCCAGAACTGGGAGCAAACAGAGATGATGACGCCATTGGAATATGATTCAGATGGCAAAGGTATTTAAGAGCTTAGCTCCCAGTTGTTGCAAAGGGAATTAGGGACCCCTGCGAGAATTACCGCCTGGCCACGGGTCTCGGTTCCTGAGGGAGGTGGCTGTGACGAAGGTCACGCATGGCTTCAGCCACCACCTAATGACTTCCTGCAAAATGGAGGAGTAATTCAGCTGGCACCAAATTAGCTCCTTGCACCACGGGACCCACTTCCTCCACCTGAAGCACCTCATGCCCCGGTTTGCTGCAATTCCCGTGGTGTGCACGTGCCGTGAAATTCTCCGTGTCGATAATTACCAGGAAAAGCTGATGGCCAAGCTGGGTATCCTCACCGAGGCTGCATGGAGCCAGGTTTCCGAAAGCACGGCTGTGAAAATGTCACCCTGAGAGAGAACTTCGAGTTTAGAGCCTGTGTTTTGATACCAAATATTTAGTGTTTTCCCCTTCGCCGGCGCTGGTTACTGATTGACTACAAGTGACCTCCAACTGCCTTATTGATTTACAGCGGCTGTCAAAGGACGAAAAATGAGCCCCATGTCCAGGATCTGAGAAATACTCTGAATGGAGGTTGCACAACTGAATAAATGTCCTGCCAGCTCTTTAAATCTTGGGACGGCGGGGGGGGAAAGTCAGCTTGAGCTCCTAATCTACAGTGTAAACACCAGTGGGATATGAAGATAATGCTGCAGCACCAGCGGACATATCTATTAGCCAAAAAAGCGGCGCAGCCTGTTTAATTCACAGCTATTTATGGCTGGGCAAATGATATGACATTCAGGCCTGAGAGTTTAGAAAGCGAATGGAAAGTCTTCCAAAGGCTGCTCTGCCGTTCAGGTTCCAAAGTCAGGAAACTCTCCGATTTTGGTGTTTTGCTCTCTGCACACCCCTATTACCACCCTTCTTCTCAGCCTGCCCTGCACAGTGCTGGCGCTCACCCACCCACCCAACCGCGGAGCTGAGCCCAGGCAGCACAGCTTGGAGGGTCTCCTCCAAACCTCAGCCTTGCTGGTGGACACAAACCTGCATGTGCTGCAGAAGCCCATGGCCACAGCAGCTCTGACAACGGCGCTGAGAGCAAAAGCCAATGGACATGAATGTCCACTTTTCAGGATTACAGGCAGTTTGGGGTGGGGATGAACCTCCTCCAGACCCCACTCAGCGCCCTTTTGTATGATCCTCTGGGGCTTACAGGATGGA